CGAAGAAAGGAATTGAATCGGTCGAATTTTCGGGCAAAAGTGCAAAACCCCGTAGCAGTCTTAGGGAAAACTTCAAAAATTCATATCTCTTGATCCGTAAGTCGGTTTTAGTCCCCGTTCGAAGAGTTGGAAAGCTAAAGAGATGTTTTATCTAGAAAAAATGGAATTCTGCTGATATGTTGATCGTCATGGGCTTGTTACAGTCGTCACGATCGTGACGTTCGTCATGAGCTTGTTACGACCGTCATGGCCTTCACAGTCGTGACATTTGTTACAATCGTCATAGTAACAAAATTCAATTAAGAAGAATTGGAACGTGGCCACAAAAATGCTGAAAGTTAGTAACATATTCTCGTATTCCCTTACGCTCAATTCAGTTGGGAATTTCGCAAAAGAGAAACCGTAAAGGAAGAAAAAGAGTGGCTGAGAGAAGTGGATAACAGAAGTAGATTATCCATCGGAGAATTTGCAAGGCTGGGACAGAGGAGTCACCGCGGAGATAAACCAGAACTAGAAGTTAGGATTGACCTCAATTCCAAGGTAAGGGTGGGGTTCAATTCTATAACCAAGGGTATGATAGAATTCATGAAGGGTATGGAATCATGGGTTTGATTCCGTAGGTTGGTAAATGTTAACGATAAAGGGTTGTCTGTGTCGAAATAGCATGGTCGGTCATTGGTCTGTGCAATATCTCGTGAATTTCCGTTCCATAATTAATGGCGTTTACCGTAAACCGTAGATAAATAAGTATGTAGAAGTTGCGATGCCGTTCTGCGGAAATGTCTTGAATTCTTATTTGTTGATAATGATATTGTTATTGTTCCCTTACATGAACAGATTGAGATGATGAATACCTGATGCATATGAAGTTGTTATGTCATTGTTGAGAAAATGTTATTATAATATTCTCATTTGATTTTGTTGATAAGTTGTAGTTATATGATGATGGGTATGCCTCAGTTATAGGCAAATTGGTTGTAGGCTTAAATGCTTTGTTGAATTAGTTGTTGCGGTTATGTTGTAGTCCATAATAGTTGCATTTCATGGCATATCATCTTGGATGGCCTGTATTGGTGGCCCTTAGTGGCAAATGAATTGGTTGTGGAGTTTTACTCCGAAATGGTACCATATGCATATGCACAGTTGAGTGCATTTTTTGAGTTGCATTGTTGAGTTGATTGTTGAGTTACTGAATTGTTAATGATAATGGTTGTGGATATGAATACCAAATTGTTGCGGTTTAATTATTGATAATATTTTGCGAACTGCTGGAATTATAATGATGTGATAATATTCTGACATGACTTTTATCATGCCTTATGTTATGTTGTTGATATCTCACCCCTTTACGTTGTATATTACCTCCATTGGTGGTAATTTGCAGGTAATCAGGAATAGAGTGTAGCTTTCTATTAAGGTGTCGTCGGTCGCTCTGGTATGTAGCACTCTTGGGAGGATGAACGATTAATATTACTGTTTCATTTGACTTTCTTGTTGCTGAATTTTATTGAATATTCTTAATTTAATTGGTTGTTACTGTCGAGTACTAAATATTAGTTGTACGCACTAAGCCGGTGAATTGGTAGTGCTGATTTCTATGGTTGAACTAGTCGTTTTTGTTGAATCTATGTAAGACTTTTACTTGTTGAATTTTAATGGAGTTGCTGCAAGTTTCGTGGTCTTGCTTTAATCATTATAAATGTTGGAAATGTTTTATATTCTGCTGCAAATTAATAAGATGCCTTGTAATCGAGATGTTAAGCAAGTTGTTGTATGTTCATCCAAGCTTTTGTGCTATGTATCATTACTAAATGCATGTTGTAACGCCCGTTTTAATTATTTTCGGGTTCCGGTGTTATTTTTGAATTTGTTAGTGTATTTGTGTGGATTTACTTTGAGGATAAAGAACTCATGGTGTTAATATATAGTGATAAAATGTGGTGATTAATACTAATGTAATTATTATTAATTATTACTATTGTTACTAATATTAGTATTATGAGGGAAATTTAATAAATTGGATTTTTAGAAATTAAGAAATATGGATTATTGGTGAATTAAGAAAGATATGAAGAAAATATTATTTGGGAAAATGGAAACTAAGTTGTATTATTTTGGGATGAGGGGTAAACTTGGCATTTTGGTGAAAAATAGATTTGGAAGGAGAAGGAGAACGTGTACGAAGAATAAGAACAAGAGGAGGGAGTGCACGATCAGAAGAGCAAGGCAAGAGCAAGCAAAATCGTGTGGATTAAGGAGCTTGTTCATCATCAAAGCTTGAATTGAAGTAAGGGGGAGAATAATCGGTTAAATTCGGTGAATGCATGATTAATCGGTAGAAAGGGGGAAATCCATAATCCCCATAGATTTCTTGATGTTTGATGTCAATTGCATGCTGTTATTGATGTGAATGTTGTGTTGTTTGATAATTAATTCGTTTGGATGTGCTTGGAATATTGGGTTGAATGAATTTGGGGTTTTTGAGTAGTTTCGGAGTTATGTCGGAAGTCGGTAACTTGAGCAGATGATGCATTTTATTGGATAGAATCGGGAATAGACCCGTAGCTCAGTTGTAGCATGTTGTTAGTTGCGAGTTTTGATTTAATTGGGCGGAATCGGGAGTGGATGATGATTCTGGTGCGCAAATTTTTTTTCTGAGTACGCAGGTATTCACTGGGCGAATAAGGGGCGAGCCTTCGCCAGGCTTCGTCGGGCGAGCTAGCCAACGAGTGCTGGCAAAAGCTTCTGTCTGGCTTCGCCAGAGGGTTCGCCAGGCGAATGGCAGCGAGTGTTCGCTACAGGGATTCGCCGGGCGAATGTGCCAGCGAGCCCAACAGCAGTTTTGTATTTTGCTGCTGTTGTTGTGTTGTTCCGCTATGGACTTGGACCCTCGTTGGTCTTGTGCGATGAGAGGCTTGCTGGAGATGTTGATGTGAGCGTATGTTGGTGGTTGTAGGGTTGTTTAGCCGACGTTTATCGCAAGTGGCCTAATTGGTGGGGTACGCATTATGTATGAACTGGTATGGATGCGTACGTGAGATGTGTGCACCGTGGGTGTGCTGTGTGTGAGATGTGAGGATCAGTATGATCGTGACGCCTTGAGCGTGTTTGTTGGTCTGTTGTGGTGAGTGGATCCGTGAGGATCGATACGCTTATTATGCGTTGCAATTGTGTGTTGTTATGTGATGTATTGGGTCAGTAGGACCGACATGCCTTGTGTGCATTGGATGTGATAAGTTGTGTGGTGAATGGATCTGTGGGATCGACGCACTGTGTGTTCTTGTTATGTATGTATTTTGTGATGTGAATGGATCCATGGGATCGGTACGCCTTGTGCGTCGTGTGTGTGTGTGTGTATATATATATATATATATATATATATATATATATATATATATATATATATATATATATATATATATATATATATATATATATATATATATATATATATATATATATATATATATATGGTGTGAGGGGTGGATCAATAGGATCGGTTTGCACTTTGTGTGATAGATGTATGTTGTGTGTGAATATGGTTGTGTGTGCTCCCGTAGAGGAGGGTGATGGCCCAGTGACCATCGGTAATGTTGGTATGCTCCCGGTGAGGAGGGTTATGGCCATGTGTCCATCGATGTTGTTGTGGTGCTCCCGTAGTGGAGGGTGATGACCAGGTGTCCATCAGAGATGTGCTCCCGTTGTGGAGGGTGATGGCCAGGTGTCCATCGGTATTGTTGTGGTGCTCCCATTGTGGAGGGTTGATGGCCAGTTGCCCATCATTGTGGTGTGCTCCCTGAGTGGAGGGTTGATGGCCAAGTGTCCATCGTTGATATGTGCTCCTGTGAGGAGGGTTGATGGCCCGGTGCCCATCGTGATTGTGAGTCGGTACTGTAAGTTTAGAGTTGTGAGTGCATTGTTGCGTGATAGTGTGTTGTGGTTGATGGTGGGACCGTGAGTCCGGATGATATGTATATGAAATAGTATTATTATTGATTTCTGCCTTTTAATTCATGTACTATTATACCATTATTATTTAATCGTAATTCTCACCCCTTTGTTGTTGTTGTGGTCTGTGCTTCTTCGGAAGTACAGACAATCCAGGTGTTTAGCTTGTTGGATTGTGGTGTCTCCGTAGGGCTGCTCTGATACGTAACACAGGGTCGCTTTGGGAGTTTTATTGTGTATTTTTATATGTGTGCCCCCGTGGCGTATCTGATATTTTGTGAGATATTTGATGATGTTCGGTGATGATGTTGTGTATTTTGGGGCAGATGGCCGTTATTGTACATATGATGATGATGATGGATATGGATGATGTATGTATATAATATTTTGTGTTATGACAGACCATATCTTTTTCCGCTGCACTTTTATTGAAAAACTCAGTTAAATTATTTGGAAAAATATTTGTGGAAATTTTGACGTGTATTGTGGAATCCCGTTTGGGAGAGAAACTCTGATATGTGTTTTATTTGTTTGTTTTATTTTATTTTGGGAACGGGGTGTTACACATGTTGTCTAATTAAGTTGTGAAATGTATGTTTCTGTAAGTTGAAAATGTGACGCCCAGGTTTTGGTAGTGTGACGACCGTCACAGGACCACTACGATCGTCACGCGTCCAAATTTTGTGCACTCTGATTGTATTTTGATGTTATCCGTTGGGTTAAAAATAGGGTGTTACAAAAACAGTCAGAGCAAATCTCAATAAAGTACTAGGACAGTTGAATGAGGACAGAATGAATAGCACCTTGATGGGGCAGGCAAAAGACTGATTGAGGAAGTGATATCACTGAATGAGCTTGAATGGCAGATATTACAACAAAGGGAAAAAATCGATTGGAATGGGAAGGGAGATGGAAATAACCATTATTTCTATGCTGCTATAAAAAATAAACATCAAGCTAATTGCCTTGACAGCCTCAGAAGGAATGATGGCAGCCAACTAACATCCCATAATGACATTGAAAAAGAAGTGTTGTATTTCTACAGAAACTTGATGAGCACAGAGGATAACAATATTAGCCACATTGACATTGAGGCCATGAGGCTGGGTATCCAATTTAACATGGAGCTGAGGGAATACCTCATCAAAAACATCACTGAGGAAGACATCACCAAAGCTCTTAGAGGAATTGGAGACCTCAAAGCACCAGGGCTGGATGGATATAGAACCAGATTCTTCAAGGCCAGCTGGACAACCATTAAAAATGATGTGATTGCAGCGGTTAAGGAGTATTTTGAGACATGTAAAATGTACAAACCTTTCAACAATGTTGTTGTTTCCCTGATTCCAAAAAGAAATAAGGCTTGTGAGATTAAAGATTCCAGACCTATAGCTGTCTGCACCACTTTTTACAAGATCATCTCCAAGATCCTGATTGATAGACTAGGATCTGTCCTACCTAGTATGGTGAGTCACAACCAGGCTGCTTTTGTAAAAGGTCAGAACATTCATAACCACATCATGCTTGCTACTGAACTTCTAAAGGGATACACTAGGAAAGGGGGCACACCTAGAATTATGATGCAAATAGACCTGCAAAAAGCATATGATATGGTCAGTTAGAAAGCTCTAGAGTCCATTATGAAGGAGATGGGCATTCCCCATAAATTCATCCAATGGACCATGCTAGGCATCACCACTGTATCCTACAAATTCAACATCATGGGAGAGTACACTGAGGTGCTACCAGCAAAGCATGGAATGAAAGTGGGAAAAACACTTAGAAGGGGGGGGGGGGGGGGGTTGAATAAGAGTTTTAAGAAATATGGCAATAAAAACAACTCAAGATTTTTATCCTGGTTCGTTGAACTCAACTACTTCAGTCCACCTTATCAAAGATGATTTGCCTTTCTCTACAAGGACTTAATCCACTATTGATCAACGGATTATAATAGAAAGCACTAAGAGCAATTGTCTTAGTCTTCTCAAGAACTACTGACCACACCTTGGTCTTCTTAAGGAACTTCTTACAAATTAATGTAAACTAACAAGTGTTTGAATGCTTCTAATAAGTTGTATCACAACTGTGATGTATACACTTAAGATTAAGTACAACAAAAACTATATGGTTTTATGAAAGATCAAATGAATAAGATCTTGAGAGATTTTCTCTTTTATGAATTAAGCGTGTATTTCTTTCTGAGTGAACTTGCAATGAGCAAATGATGAGTAGTGAATTAGCAACCTCAAAATGTTGAAGTAGTTCTCCTTTTATAGTTTTTTCCAAATGCTTTGAGTGATGTGCAGCTGAATATAATATTTGATTGTATGACTTTTCATCACCAAAAGTATGGGCAGAGATATGCTTTCTGCAAAAAGGTATGGTTGTAGAAGCCTTGGGATTTGCACCACGTCACTTCTTTGGACAAATTAGTCGTTGGTTACTTTGGAAGTAGCACCACGTCTAATCAAGTTTACAGCTTCTTCAACAAGCTTCCTTCAAGATGAAGTCTTCATAATCTGCACTTCAGAACTTGTAGTAAGCTTAAAAGGTATGGAATGCTTTAAGATGATCAGAGCTTAAGATGAATGAGAAGTTCAGAGCCTTGATAGATGATCAGATCTTAATGTATCATAGTCTCAATCTTGATCAGAGTCTTTATCAGAGTATGCAGCAGTATGTGCTAAGAGCATGAATATTAATGATAAGAGTCTAATTGTCAAAGCCTCTGATCTTGCAGTGAAAAGAACTTCAAAGTCTGATTATATCAAAGCTTTCAACTTTTGTACACTTCTTTCATTAGCGCTTCAGATCATTCTGCAGCTTCTGCTTCAGATTCTTCTGGCAGCGCTCCAGAATCTTCTGATAGTCTTGCATCTGATGCTTCAGAGCTTTGCATAGTTTCTTTGTACTTATGTATTTTGCTTCTTTAAGAGTTTTCAATTTTATACCTGAAACAATAATACTTGAACAAATTTTAGAGTGTATATTTTCTTAATACAAAATTCCATTAAAGTTATCATCAAAACATAGAGATATAAGAAACACCAATCTGTGTTCTAACAATCTCCCCCTTTTTTATGATGGCAAAACATAGGGAATTTTGTTCAATAAAGAGAAATAAAATATATAACTCCCCCTGAGATTAAGAATCTCCCCCTAAAATTTATACTCTAATAGAAGAGAACACTTCCCTTTTTGCTTGAGTATATTTCAGAACCTGGTAGAAATCCTTGTTGAGAGAAAGAATCAGAGCCTGGATGCTTTCTAGAATTAGAGTCTGATGATTTCTTTCAAAATGAAGAGTCTGGTAAATCTTCCAGATTTAGAGTCAAATTTCCTTCAAGGATCAGAGCCTGGTTGGGTAATTCTCAGGGTAACTTCAGATCATTTTTGTCAGATGAATTAATAAGATTTGAAAGTCTTAAGATTCAATGTTAGTTTAAAACAATGTCTGAATTTCATTTTAGTATTGCTTATGGATTGAACAATCAAATTCTCTTTCTCCCCCTTTTTGTCATAATCAAAAAGAATTTTAAAGACAAAAAAGATAACAGAAGAAGAGAAAAACACAACACATAAATGAAAAACATAGCAGCTAGATTCATTCAGATCAAAGTAGCACAAAAAGCATAAGATGTTTATACAGCAGATGATAGAAAATAGAACAACAGGAAAAAAAAGTGCAAAACACGAATGCAAAGACATGAAAAAGAAAACTAGGGCTGGCGAGAAGCAATCAAGTTCAGAAGATCAGTAATCTTGGCAGTGGACTCTTCTTGCTTGGCCATCCAAGTCTTGATCTCTTCAGTGGTCTGTTCCTGTTTTATCATCCATGTTCTGATTTCCTTGACTTCTTGGACAACATCTAGAATCTCAGTCTTCATCTCAGATGCAGAAGGTTCAGAAGCAGATGCAGTTGCCATTGGATGATCAATCTCCATGTCAGATGCATGAGTATCTTCTATCATTGCAGAATCTTCAGCAGGAGCATCTTCCAGAAGAAGCATTGGGGTTGTGATAATGCTCAGCAGAGTCTGTCTGACCATTTCACCAAACTTAGCCTTTGCATTATCAGCACAGAGTGTTCTGAGGTCAGATGCAGCAGAGTTGAACTTAGATATGAATATGTTCCAATAAGCTTCAAATTCAGCAGGATCCATACTAGCCATGCACTCTTTCTCCACAGAAGCAATCCCCATACGTATTTCCTTCTTAAAATTCTTGAACAGAGTAGAAACATCTGATCTGGGTTTTGGGTTCAGAAATTCCTCCATGGTGACTGGTTGTGATGGTTCAAGAGGTGTTTGGTTTTGTTCAGGAGGTGGGTGATCAGATGATGGTGGTTGTTCAGATTGTTGGGGTATGGATGGATGTGGTTCAGATGGTTGTGGTATGGTGAGTTGAGGAATGGAGGTGTCATCATCAGATGGTATTGATGTAACAACATCAGATGAGGGTGGTATAAAATCTGTGAAATTGAATTTGAAGCGAAGAGGGTTGTCAGATGCAGGTAGGTCGGATGGTAATGGTTTATAAGGATCAGGAATTTATAAGCTAGTTGGTGAGGGGACTTCAGATTCATCAGAATCAGATGATTCAGTTGAATGACATGAAGTTGAAAAGAGGACATACATGGTTGCAAGTGGTGATGTAACGCCCCGATTTCGACTATTCCTTTTTCGTTGAGTCCTTTTTGATTTAATTGGGCGAATATTATTTGAATGTGGAATTTGTGCGGAAATATGTTAAGTTTGCATATTATTCTATTTTAATCGATTTTGGGAGTTTTCGGAGAAAATAGTTTGGAGGGTATTTTGGACATTTCCTATTTAATGTTAAGTGAGATATTTTATGAGATATGGAATTAGTTGATGTTTTGGAAAATAATGAGAAAGATATAAAAGAGGAAATAGAAAGGAAAGAAAAGGAAAAAAGAAGAAGAGGAGAAAGAGAAGAGAGAGAAGAGAAAACCTAGATTCTTCAAGATCAACCAAAGCTTGCGATTAATTAGGTAAGGGTGAGGAGTTCTATCATCTTAATAATGTATAAGATCATATATGTACTAGATTTGGATTTGTTTGGTAGTTTCTACACTTTCCATTTTTAGGTCGAAATTGGATTAATCGATAGAAATCGTTGTTTAACGGTTAAAATCGTGTTTAGATTATGTAGATTAGTCGATATATGTTAGACTAAGGCTACTGGAACGACATTGGATTTAATCGGGTGATTTTGGTGAGTTTGGAAGTGCTAGGACAGAACTGAATGTTGCTGTTCGCAGGCGACTCGCTAGCAGCTCACTAGTCGAGCAGGCCGCGAGCACTCGCTAGCAGCTCGCTAGGCGAGTGCGTAGCGAATGGTCCCAGACTTGGGACAGTAAGGTTTTGGCATTCTTCGCTGGAGGCGAAGGGAGTGGCGAATGACTCGCTGATGGTTCGATGTGGCGAACGAGGTAGCGAACGAAGTCTGGAGCTTCTGTTTGTGCTCGCTAGCAGTTCGCTAGGCGAGCAGGTAGCGAACGCTCGCTAGCAGCTTGCTAGGCGAGCGTATAGAGAACGTAGCAGGATGAGCCTTCCCTGTTGCTTCGTGCTGTTTTGGCTTGGGGTTTCGGTTGCGATCGACCTCTTCTTGATTTGAGTAGCTTGTATGCTAGTTATGATGTGTTGTGGGTAGCCGTATGGCGTGAATCCTAGTTTATGAATTGTGAAGTGTGGAATGTGGTCGTTTGGCATTTTGGTGCATTACTTGAATGTAATAGAAATGCATGATGAGATTATATGATGAATGTATGTATGTATTGTGATATGTATATATAGTGGATGCATAATGAATATATGCAATGAATGTGAAGAATGCATGAGCATGTTCGCAAACGTGGTTGCATTTCAAGAAGTGTATGAAGTACTTCTTGTGCTGTTGACTCTTAGGAGAGTCTGATGAGTGGTGTGACTCTTAGGAGAGTCTGATGAATGAAGTGATTCCTAGGAGAATCTGATGAACGAATTGATTCCTCGGAGAATCTGATGAAAGATGTGATTCCTCGGAGAATCTGCTAAATGACTTGATTCCTCGGAGAATCTGATGAACGGTGTGATTCCTTGGAGAATCTGATGAAGGGTGTGATTCCTTGGAGAATTTGATGAAGGGTGTGATTCCTTGGAGAATCTGATGAATGGTGTGATTCCTCGGAGAATCTGATGAATGGTGTGATTCCTAGGAGAGTCTGATGAGTGATGGGATTTCTAGGAAGATCTGATGAGTTATAGGATACCCATGAGGGGTGGGAGTGAATTGATTCTTAGGAGAATCTGATGGACGATTAAGTCGATAATGTGTTGCATTTACGTAGAGTAGCGAGTTGGCCTCTATGGTTTGCGTGTTGACATCTGTGCATGATGTATGGCGAAATAAGCATGTTGTGTATGTTTATTAGAATAATGTGAAAGGTGTGAATGACATAATGAAATGCTTGAAGATATATATATATATATATATATATATATATATATATATATATATATATATATATATATATATATATATATATATATATATATATATATATATATATATATATATATATATATATATATATATATGTGTGTGTGTGTGTATATAT